TCAGGTCCACACTCTAAGGGGGGTCCCAGAGCCATCAGGTCCACATCTCAGAGAGTCACAGAGCCGTCAGGTCCACACTCTCAGGGGGTCCCCTGAGCTGTCAGGTCCACACTCTCAGGGGGTCCCAGAGCCGTCAGGTCCACACTCTCAGAGGTCCCCACAGCTGTCAGGTCCACACTCTCAGGGATCCCCTGAGCCGTCAGGTCCACATCTCAGGGGTCCCCACAGCTGTCAGGTCCACATCTCAGGGGTCCCCACAGCCGTCAGGTCCACACTCTCAGGGGTCCCCACAGTCGTCAGGTCCACACTCTCAGGGGGGCCCCACAGCCATCAGGTCCACACTCTCAGGGGGTCCCCAGAGCCGTCAGGTCCACACTCTCAGGGGGTCCCCAGAGCTGTCAGGTCCACACTCTCAGGGGGGTCCCAGAGCCATCAGGTCTACACTCTCAGGGGGTCCCCAGAGCCGTCAGGTCCACACTCTCAGGGGGTACCCACAGCCATCAGGTCCACACTCTCAGGGAGTACCCACAGCCATCAGGTCCACACTCTTAGGGGGTCCCCAGAGGCGTCAGGTCCACACTCTCAGGGTGTCCCCAGAGCCGTCAGGTCCACACTCTCTGGAGGTCCCAGAGTGTTCAGGTCCACAGCAGAAGGTGGATACTGGCTGCTGGGGGGGCCGGGGAGTCGGTGCCTTGTGGAGACAGTTTCAGTTTGGGATGATGAGAAGCTTCTGGAGATGGAGGGTGGTGATGGTGGCATAACTCTCTGAGTCTGCTTAATATCACAGAAATGGGCACTTCAAGATGGGCAAGATGGTGAATTTTATGTTATGTGGTTTACCACAATTTAAGAGACTGAAGTGGAAGGATAAAGTCAGGGCTGAGTTTTCAACAGACAGGGACAGCAGTTCAAAAAATAATCATCTCTTGACATCGTGAAGACGACACAGCAGAACACTGGGGGGCCCCCTCACCATGGCTGAGATGCCAGGAGCCGGATACCTGCCAGGTGCTGGTCACAGCAACGCATGTGGGCTCACCTTCCCGGGGAGACAAAACTGCCAGGGCCAGGAAAGACAGCCCAGTTCTCAAGATCAAAATACTTTTTTCAAATCCTCTCTAAACATCAGGGAGCAGGAGACTCAACTGCAGATAATGCCCTTCTGGATATTTTGACTAAAACAGATAGGAAAGTAAATCCACAGAGGAATGTCTTAAATTACTTTTCAAATAGGGGAGCCTAGAGCCGGAAGCATTACAATATTGAAGAACTCAGCACTAGAAGGACTCAGTGTTCACTATTTCCCCCAGCATCCCAGCTGGAAGCAGCCCCTCTGTCTCTAAGCAGAGGGGACACTCTCAGGAGGTCTCCAGAGTCCCTCCCACCTGCCCCCCCAAAACACGCTTTTTGTGTGTGCTTTGCATGGAGTTAGCACAAGCCCCGGCTCTGTCTTTCATTAGCTGTGTGGCCTTGGGCAAGTTAAAGGAGCCTCTCTGGTCATAATTGTCTCTTCTTCCCTGACCCACAATGTTCTCAAGATGTTTCCACACTTTCATATAATTGTCCCTTCCCTTTTTTCTCTACTAGCCCAGCCCCCCATTCCTCAACTCTCTCACCTCCTGCTCCTTACCCTTCAACCATGTACTATACTGTCCAGGAAGGGAGGATTCTTCTAGAACCTTCTCCCCAGGCAACCAAGGGAATCCTCACAGACAATCCCAAGGACTCTAGTCAGGTCCCACTCTGTGTGGCTAGCCCATACCTTTGGGCTCAGGTGAGAATATCCTCCATTCTCCCCTCCCCCATCCTTAGTTACACAACCTTTAAGCCACCCACTTACTTTCCCCCACCTCCATTTCATATTCACTAATTTCTCCTAGGGAAATGTGTGAGAGAGGTCCATGAAACAACAGACAAGGAATGGATATGTGTGCAGAACTGCTTTCTTGGAGCAAAACATTATAAAGCTATGGTGATCTGAATAGTTACCAGCCCCAGCAGAAGGAAAGGCAGACGTATCCATGGACACCCAGACAGACTGGAAAGCAACTGTGAGGGGCAGACTTCTGCAATAAAATAGCACTGCAGTCCCACTGGCTACTTGGGAGAGAACAGACACCTCTATAGAATCACACACACAACAAACTGATCTTGTATTGAAGATGAAGGTTTTTTAAAAATTGAAATAGTTAAAATTTTAAAATTGGGAGAAATTGGGGTTTGTTTTTTTTTTATGGATAGGAAAAAACTTCCTAAGCATAAGGAACATGCAGCATGCAAAAATCAAACTCTGAACTCTATAAACATTTTCAGCTTCTCCAGCAAAACACATCCCAGGACATTTTCACCACTAAACAAACAAACAAAGAAAAAGCAATTGGCAAAAGTTGAATTGCCTTCATCGATGAAAACCACATACAGGTTAATTTTTCAAAACTCATTGATGTACTAAAAGATATATGAGCAAAAGGATATGAACAGGAAGCTAAAACCCAAATGATAAATAAACATGTTTTAAAAGGTTCAACCCTGATAGCAATCAAAGAAAGGCAAACAGAGCCGATGACAACACTTCAGCTCCTCCACACCCCCAGCAAATCATGAAAGCCTTTTCAAACAACATGCCAAGCTGGCCAAGGGGTTCCCTCTTCTCCAGTGCTAGGAGGAGTGTCTGCTGCTACAACATTTCCGGAAAGCTATTTGGCAATCTGTATCAAGAGCTTCTGACCCAGAAATTTTACTTTTGGAAAGCAAGCTTAAAGAAACAAATGCTTGATAAAGCTTTCACTCTGAAATGCTCATCCCTCTCTTTGTGAAAACTGGAACTAATCTCAATGCCCAATAATAAGAAAGGATAAGGAAATTAAGACACACCAGATCTAGTGAATACCCGCTACAAGAAAGTACCTCCAATAAACTGCTCTCATCAACATGCATTACAGGATAAGATAGAGGGTTTGCTTTTTTTCCCTTCAACATTTCTTTATCCAAACATCTATCATGAGCAATTTTACCTCTATACTCAGATATGAAATAAACTTTCATTTTTAAACCAAGTTCATACCTATCCATTCCTATCCTTCAGTCAAAGTAGGAGGTGGCAAAGTGGAATCCTCAGGCAAAATCTGGCCCACTAGTTGTTTCTGTAAATAAAGTTTTACTGAAACACAACAGCATGCACAACTATGGCTGCTTGCCCACTATGATGGCAGGGCTGAGTAGTGGCAACAGACCCTGCATGGCCTACTGATGTCCACAGTATTAACTATCTAAGCCTTACAGAAAGTTTGCCACCCCCTGGGCCACAGGGAATGCCACAGTACCCAACTTTGTTGGCACCAGGGATCCGTGGAAGACAGATTGTGCATGGAAGACAATCTTTCCACAGATGGAAGTGGGGGTGGGGATGGTTTGGGGATAATTCAACAGCATTACACCTCCACCTCAGATCACCAGGCATCATATCTCACAGGAGCACAGCCCAGACCCCTCGCATGTGCAGTCTGCAGTAGGGTCCTGATCCTGTGAGAATCTAATGCCACTGCTGATATGACAGGAACGCAGGTGGGGATGTAAGTGACGGGAGTAGCTATGAATACAGGTGAAGCTTCATTGGCCACCACTCCCCTCCAGCTGTGCAGCCCAGTCCCTAACAGGCCATGGATGGTACCAGTCCATGCCCGGGAATCGGGAGCAGCAGGCTCAGAGAACCTTACACCTTGTCGTACCTTTCTGGCAATGACTGTGAGTCCAGCACCGTTCCACAAACTGGCCGTTGATGACGGTGGCAGGGCAGTTGGTCTTGCCCTTGGCAGTCCCTGGACAGACGTCCCCACACTCCTCGTTGTCGTCCTTGTTCAACACAATGTAATTGTCCTCCACAGAATCCAGGATGCGGGACCAGTCGATTGTGGCCAAGTAGCAGAGCTCATTGTTTTTCTCGATGCGGACGGAGCCCCGGGTTATGTTCATCAGATTGTAGAGACCGAGCTCCTTCAGGTGAACCATCTCAAAGATGACTAGGGCATAGTTGAAGAAGAGGCGTGAGCCTCGGATAACAGTGAGGTTGGGGAACAGGTCCTTCAGGCTCTCCAACCCGTAGACCCGGAAGAGCAGCAAGTAATCAGTGATCATTATGAGTTTGGGGAAACTGAGGTCTCGGAAGTCTTCAGGGCTTGTTTTGAACATCAAGAGTATCTGCAAATGGCCTTCGATGACGGAGCAGTTCTCCAGCTCCCGCAGCCTGGTGAGGTTGTTCCGGATATCCATGCCGGGACACACTGGAAGGAAAACAGGCGAAAAAGCAAGACTAGTAAGCGAGACAAGCACACCACGGACGGGTTAGGAGAACTCAGGGAAGGGCCCGCTCCGTGGGCATGGGAGCTGGGTCCTGCTCTTCCATCCTACAATGGGCCCCGCAAATTCTGCAGCCAGGCCTGTGAATGGTTTCCCTGTCAAGTGCCCATGCCTGAGTAATTACTTTCAGAAGCAAGGAAAATAATTCCTTTGGCCAGTCCTGTTAGAAGCCTTAAAACTCATCACCTCTGACATGGTGCAGTCAAGACAATAGGATTGCAGAGGATTGAGTAAGGAGGCAGGTGCTGATACGGAGGGGCGCCGTCCTCAGCGCAGCAGTGTCAGACCTTCAGGAACTGCTCTGTGGGGGATGGGTGTCCACATCAGAAATGGGCAAGGAAAGCTTGCGTGCTTTGTCAGTTCCCCCGTTTTTCAGGCTGGCTCTCCTTCCCCCTCCTGGCCAGCAGTCAAGGCCTAATTACCTTTCACCTGGGTGTGGCAAGGACTTCCCACTGCCAACACCCCATGTGCTCATTCTCCTGAAGGCAGCCCCTCCTGACCTCCAATACCCTCCATAGCTCCCTATCACCCTGTACTTCTCTCTCACAGCCCTCAAGAGTCTCCCCTCAATCCCCTGCATGCCATAAATAGGACTTCCCACTACTCTTGTGCAATTCAAGACTCCCTGAATCCTCCTCTGTAACATGATCTGGAAGGAGGAGGAAATGGAATTCTGCAGGGATGATACTAAACAGGGCCTGAAACACAGTGGGTGCTCCATTGGTGTCAGCTACTTTTTTGTTGTTGCTTCATTCCTCCAACATATAACAAGCATCTCAAGGCTAAACTATCTTTTGGCTGGCAAAGCCCGTTATACCTTCGCTCCTTATTGCTTTCTTTCTTTTTTTTGTAGAGACAGAGTCTCACTTTATGGCTCACAGCAACCTCCAACTCCCAGGCATAGGTGATTCTCTTGCCTCAGCCTCCTGAGTAGCTGAGACTACAGGCGCCCACCACAATGCCCGGCTATTTTTTTGTTGCAGCTTGGCCAGGGTTGGGTCTGAATCCACCTCCCTAGGTATATGGGGCCAGCGCCCTACCCACTGAGCCACAGGCACTATCCTTAGCTCTTTATTTCTGTGATAAATCTAGCCCATTATCCTTCAAGATCCAGTTCAAATGCCACCTCCTCAGGCAGCCTTCCCTAATTTCCTTCTCTCTGTACACCAACATGAGTCTTTCTCTTCTTGAGTCCCTTATACTTGAGTTAACATTTGTCAGAATTAAACTCTTTAGACAGCCTTCTCCCTGCCAACATACACACACACACATATCCCTTAGCTTCTGGAACATAAGCCACACTGCACAGCGCCTGCATATTTTATTTCCAGATACTAACCCTCCCCCTAATATCTTGGAGGTAGACACTTTGTTCTAAAGAAGAATAGTAAATCTTAAAAATCCATCCTGAGAACAACCTTCAAAGGAAAGCACATATTAGAAAGAAAACAGCAAAGGAAACAATTGGGAAAAACAAAGTAGAATGTTCTTGGGTCACATTCCACCCAGCAGAAGTGATGAAGCTAACTCCAGGGAAAGCGCATGCACTCACTCACTCACTCACTGGGAGGTTGGGGGGGAAGCCCTGGTACTCGGCCACCAATAAATTACCACCCTCACCTGAAACTTGCTGCTCTGTGTCTGAACTGAGCAGGGGCTAGCGAAGGCCAAACCCAGGCTGGGAGGCAGCTTCAAGGGAATGAGGAGGCCGGTGTCAGCCACCCCCAAAGTCATGCCACTGGAGCCCAGTCTGAGGCTTCCGCACCCCCATCCTAAAGATGACAAAACCAGAGCTCTGCAGCTCAAAGCCCGCCTGCCAAGGACATCCTCCCCACCAGTGACAGGCCAGAGTCAGCAAGTAAAAATTCAGGATGCCCAGTGAAATCTGAGTTTCATATAAGCAACTGATACTTTGTTACTTTAGGATGAGTTTATCTATCCCATGTAATACCTGGGACATATTTTCCCTTAAAAAATGCCTGTCGCTCAGAGGGTAGGGCACAGGTCCCATATACCAAAGTTAGCCGGTTCAGACCCCACCCTGGCCAAATTGGAACAAAAATAGCCAGGCATAGTGGCAGGCACCTGTAGTCTCAGCTACTCCGAAGGCTGAGGCAAGATAATAGCCTATGCCCAGGAGTTGGAGGTTGCTGTGAGCGGTGTGATACCACAGCACTCTACCAAGGGCAATAAAGTGACACTCTGTCCCTACCAAAAAAAAAAAATTATTCATTGTTGGCCAGGCATGATGGCTAACCCTGCAATCCCAGCACATAAGTTTGAGACAAACCTGAGCAAGACTCCCATCTCTACAAAAATCAGAAAAATTAGCTGGGTGTGGTGGCACACACCTGTAATCCCAGCTATTCCGGAGGCTGAGGCAGGAGGATGGCTTAAGCCCAGGAGTATGAGGTTGCAGTGAGTTATGATGATGCCACTGCACCCCAGCCTGGGTGACAGAGCAAGAGCCTGTCTCAATAACAACAACAACAACAAAATTATTCAAAGCTTGTACAAAATTGAAATTCAACAGGGCATCCTATATTTCATCTGGCATCACAGTCATAAACTAAGCCACAGATCTGGGCTTCTCAAGCCTGAGCCTCGTACTCTATATTTCCTTCCCCCCCCCCCATACACAGGCACAGGCATTCCCTGCAGGTGGGAAGAATACTGGCCCACCATCCATCCTAGGCCACAGCAGAGCCCAAATCAGACGCACTGACTGCCACACTAGAATAACAAATTTTTCCTGGACCTGTGGTGTTTCATTAGGTCAAGCACATTAACTGCCATGTGAGTTGTATTTGATTCATGATAGTTGTGAGCCCAGGGCCTCATGAAGCATATATATCTAACATGTCTCTGGCTTAACAAAACACATGGCCCCAAGGGAAAAAAAGATATCTTTCCAGTGTAGGAGTTGATGTGCAAGAGACATGTGAGTTACATCCATGCTCTTCATGAGGCCCCAGGCTCAAAACTAGCAATAAGGCAAATAAATACAACTCACACAGCAGCGAATGTGTTAACTGGTTGGTAGACATCGTGGAAATGCAAATTCAAACCACAATGATATACAACTTCTTCCTTACAGGGTTGCTAACGTCAAAAAAGACAGCCCTGAACAAGTATAAGTAAGGACACAGAGAAATTGGAACCCTTGCATATTACTGACAGGGATGGGAAATGGTACTGCTGCTTTGGAAACAGCCTGGCAGTTCCTCAATATGTTAAACAAAGAGTTTCTGTATGACCCAGCAATTCCCCTCGTAGGTATCGACCAAAGAGAAATGAAACTATATATCCACACAAAGACAGGGCACACGTGTCTAAAGCAAAGTGGAAATCACCCAAATGTCCACCAACGGATAAATGAATCAATAAAATGTAGTCCGTTATACAGTGGAAGATTATTCAATCATAAAAAGGAATGAAGCTCTGCTACAAGCACCAACATGGATGAATCTTCAAAATGCTGTGCTCAGTAAAGAAGCCAGACACAAAGAGGGCGCTAAGACACAGAAGGCCACAGAGGGCACTAAGACACAGAAGGCCACAGAGGGCGCTACACACAGAAGACCACAGAGGGCACTAAGACACGGAAGGCCATAGAGGGTGCTGGAGGAAGCCACAGAGGGAGCTAGACACAGAAGGCCACAGAGGGCTCTAGAGAAGGCCACAGAGGGTGCTAGACACAGAAGGCCACAGAGGGATCTAGAGAAGGCCACAGAGGGAGCTAGACACAGAAGGCCACAGAGGGATCTAGAGAAGGCCACAGGGGGAGCTAGACACAGAAGGCCATAGAGGGCTCTAGAGAAGGCCACAGAGGGTGCTAGACACAGAAGGCCATAGAGGGCTCTAGAGAAGGCCACAGAGGGTGCTAGACACAGAAGGCCATAGAGGGCTCTAGAGAAGGCCACAGAGGGAGCTAGACACAGAAGGCCACGGAAGGCGCTAGACACAGAAGGCCACAGAGGGCTCTAGACATAGAAGGCCACAGAGAGCTCTAGAGAAGGCCACAGAGGGTGCTAGACACAGAAGGCCACAGAGGGCTCTAGACACAGAAGGCCACAGAGGGCTCTAGACACAGAAGGCCACAGAGGGCTCTAGACACAGAAGGCCACAGAGGGCGTTACACACAGAAGGCCACAAAGGGCAGTGTTCCATTGCCCGGAAGCATCCAGAGGAGGTGAGCCCACAGAGACAGAGAGTGGATTAGTGGTTGCAGGGGCTGGAGGTGGGAACAGGTGCGGAGTGACAGCTAAAGGGTACAGGCTTTCTTTGGGGGATAATAAAAACGTTCTAAAATTGTGGTGATGGTTGTGCAACGCTGAATGTACTCAAAACTAACGCATGCTGAAAATGGAAGAATTCTATGGCATGTGAATTCTATTTCTCCAAAGTTGTTGTAAATAAAGATTAAATGGCTAGAATTATAGAAGACAATAACAAATTCCTTTTCTTTTTAAACTCCCATGCATCTAATGCTTGATTCATTAAAGCCATATGTGTCCCTAATAGTCAAAGACAATAGAGAAATTTACCGTTGGGACAAAAAATACCCAGAGGATGTTAGAAATGGCACCAGAAATAGATGCAGGGACTTCTGGTAGCTTTAATGCATCTGATGGGAACGAAGGACGTTCAAGTGGCACCTGGTTAACAGGCAGAGCAGGTCTATGAGGAGGAAGTAGCTAATATTTTCTGGGCACTTATTGTGCAAAGGACTTGGCCTGGGATGTTCACAACAATCTCAGGCTAAATTCTAAGAATAGTCCCAGGAGGAGGTGCCACCTTGATTCCCATTTTCCTGACGAGCAAATCACGACTCACACAGGCTGATTATTATACACTGTCTAGGGTCTCAACTCAGCAGACAAACAGAGCCTGCACTCGTAACTGCCATGCTACAGTTTCACTA